ATCCAGCCTGAGCCGCCCTTGCGGCAGCTTAAGGCCATGGCCTCGCGTCCTGTTGCTGGTTCCTTGGGAGAAGAGACCACCCCCCCCTCACTGCACCCTCCTGTCAGGGAGCTGGAGAGAGCGAGAAGGTCTCCCCTCAGCCTCCTCTTCTCCAGACAGGATGCTGGGATTTCATAGAATCACAGAATGGTTTGGGTTGGAAGGGACCTTAAAGACCATCTGGTTCCAACCCCCCTGCCATCAGCAGGGACATCTTCCACCAGACCAGGTTGCTCAGAGCTCCATCCAACCTGGCCTTGAACCCTGCCAGGGAGGGGGCAGCCCCAGCTTCTCTGGGCAGCCTGGGCCAGGGCCTCACCACCCTCATGGGGAAGAATTTCTTCCTAATAATTAATAATGAAATAATTTCTGGGAGGAAAGCCGTTACCACCAGGTGCACCATGTTCAAAGGGAGATCCCTCCTCTGCGCGTAATCCCTCGCTACAGCAGCCACAACACTCAACATTTTGGACATCTCCAGTCCCCTGTCCAAGCTGGCTCAAGCTGGACGAGATGGCCTAAGCTATTTTTGGGGGGAAATAACAAAAAAAAAAGGGAAGTTTCGATGAGCACAAACCGTGCTGTTCCTTAAGCCCCGTTTCTCCAGAAAGCCAAGCGAGTTCTCTTCCCCGCGCTACCTGCATCACCGTGACGTGGGGAGCTCCTCCACCGCGGCCCTGCGAAGGAGACAGCGAGGAGGCAGGCGAAGCTGGGCTGCTGGGAAGCTGCGTTCGCACCAGTTTGACGTTGGCACGGCCGGACTGGTTTTGCTGGGGACCCTGCTGGGGTGGGAAGCGGGGACCAGGCATTCCCGCGCCCAAGCAGGATTTGATCTTCGCCGGTACAGCTGCCGGGGGTGCCACGGAGCGATGGCTTCGGTCGGTGACAAAGCATCCAGACCCCACGTCACCCGCTGCCACGCAGGGAGGGACGTTTTTGGGTGCGAGGCGGGAGAGACGGGCGCAGGTTTCAGGCCCAGCACCCGCAGGCGACGCGCTGTTGCCATGGCACGGCGCGGTTGGGAACACGGCATTCCCGGCGCCGAGGCTTTCCCCGCAGAGCAGCCTTCACCCCGGC